GGGACTGGGATGCCGTCTCCTCCTTTTGCGAAGCAGTTATGCTAGCTAAGGAGGAGGCGGGACACGTGAGCCAGCGAAGCGCTCCTCGCAACCCAGCCATCGCGAGGGACACACCTGGCGTCGGGGATCGCGGGACGATCTCCGGCCACCGTAAGCGCGGGCCTGCGGACGGTGAGCATGGGTGGCTCCCCATCCGACCAGAAACAGACCCGAGCGTACGGCGCGTCGCGTTCCGCGCGGTCCTCAAAGAGTCATCAGACCACCACAGATGGGGCCCAACAGGGCCGATGCCGATTCGGAGTCGCGGAGAACCTAACGGGTAACCGGAGCTCCGGCTCGACTGCAGGAGAAGAAACGGGGTGATTTTTAGTCAGTAAGAGACTGACACTCTTTCCCGCCTCACCCAGGCGGGAGCAGTGATACGATGATTTTCCACCATTAAAAAAAAAATGCATCGAGCAGTGCCTTGCACTGCACTGCTCAATATACACAGAAATGAAGGAATTTTGATTTGCATTGTCACCTCCGATGAAAAATTAATTCTGTTTGATAACCACACGCGTTTAGCATGTTGGTTGAATCCTAGTTCAGCACCTAAACAATGCCCTAAACGAAAACTTACCCCTAGAAAAGTGATGGTCACTGATGGTCTAGCGCTCGCGCTATTCTGATTCATCACAGATTCTTACCAAACGGAGTGAGCATTACTACGGATGTGTAGTGTGAAGAACTAAACACAATGATGGAGAAGCTGACACATCTCCAACCAGCACTGGTCAATCGCTAATCTCCATTGCTCCTGCATTACAACGCGCGACCTAAAGCTGCACAACAGACGGCCTCCACGTTACAAGAACTGGGGTTAGAAGCTCTCCGACATCCACCCTACTCACCAGTCACCAGACTACTTCTTTTTCCAGAATTTGGATAACTTCTTGGCGGGACGAAATTGAATAACCGAGAGGCAGTACAAAATGCATTTGAAGAATTTGTTGCTACCCGTCTAGCTGATTGAAGAAGGGCATCAATAAACTGCCACCGCGTTGGCAACGATGCATTGATTGCATGGGTGATTACGTTGATTATACAAATAAAAAATACACGAAAAAATCGTTTAAATTTTTTCATACAAAACGGCAATTTTAGTAATTGACCCATTAATTTAATTGATTTTGCTGAATAAATATAATCGATATTCCTATTGAAACTGTAATTATTACTCTAAGTAAATACTTTGATATTGTGTTGTGTTTATTTATTCAATGTAAGCGTCTGAGATTTTCGGTGATTGCGATATATCCAGGTTGTTTTATCAGCCATTAATCGCCTTAGATGTAAATAAACATAAACATTAAACGTTATAATTTCAATGTTATATGTCACATAAGTAAATTAGCCTGTCACTCATTTTAGTCTAAATTGGTTGTTAAGATAAATAGCTTGCTTCTATTAATTTTGGGTGTCGTCACTTCATATTTTTTAGCTTACTCTGTAAATAGAGTGCATTGTCGCTTAATTTTTTTCCCTTGTAGCCAATTGTAGTTATGAAGTCACTTAAATCGTTTTTCCTGACTCTAAAAAAGGGCAGATTGTATTAAGCGACATTTATCTTTGTAATTAAAGGTCCGCTTTATTTAGAATTAGCATCAGCAACTAGATAATTTAATTTAAATTTCAATGCAATTTACCCCGTTCAAATAACTGCAGAAACGTTTTTGTTACGAATTTTTTTTCGAAATTTCAAACTTTAAAAGGCTCTCCTGTAAAGTTGCAAAAATGTCGCTTAAACCAAATAGCCCGTTACCCCTCGATATTAAGTACGTAAGTAGAGGTATATGTTGGCTAATTTATGCCTAACCTATTTTAAAATTGTAAACTATCGTAAATCTATTCCCAGAATTTTGTTTTGTTACCTTACCTATAAGTTACTTCGATGTTTAACTTATATCAACATAAAACCTAAAAACATTATTGATACATAAATCTTGCAAATCCACAAACATACTGTAAATCGCATGTAATAAAATATAGGTCGAGCTTACAAAGCGGGATCGAATCCATATCTAGTAGGTACCTAAGGTACCTCAACGAATATTTAACTCGTCGAGTACCGGTTTTATAGACACAATTAAAGAACAATAGGTCGCGGTCACCGGTGACCGCTTGGTGTTTGACAGTTTAAAACTGAAATCTCAAAAGCACATTATTTTTCTTGATCAAAATACAACTTGGACTTATCCCGTCTTTTGAAAGCTTAACAACCTCCTACCTACGTGTAAAGAAATCGGTCTATGCGTCAGTCAGGCGGTAACTTGATACTTTCTTTAATAAGTCTGTCATAGCTATAAATAACAGTGAAAGCTTTGCGACACTAATGCACTGTCAAACATATTATTATAGGTAGGTTGATCTGTCTGTTACGTTAAAGGAATTTAAACACATATCACGCCTAGCGACTTGTAATCCCCACATTACAGCTGACTAATGTTCTTCAATAGAAAAGGGTCATCACGATGACCGGTGTACATCATAGAACCTACGGCGTATCTGTGTGCGTGAGACGCGTCCTAGATGTCCAACGAAATCGGGGTCATTGTACAGATTGTGGGATTGAAAATTGTAAATGTTTTACCAATAGGTGGGTACTGTATATTCTTGTACAGATATTTGATATCTAGGTTTTTAATTGAACTAGAAGTATCACTACGCCTGTTCTTTCTCGAAACAGTGGGCAGAGGTGTTAATTACATAATCTACAAGGTAGATATGTAACTAAGTACCTCTAGGTAAGAATAGAGGTAGGGTTACTCCTACGTATATTTTTTGTCTAGACGTATTATAAAAGGACAAATCTATTAATATTAACCTACGCAAATGTTGTTCTAATTTTGTAGTTCTAGTCTAGACTAGCACTACAAAATTCCAACATAATACATACATAATTTAATATCACGCCTTTTATTTATCCCCAAAGGGGTAGGTAGAGATGCACATTACGCCACACGCCTTTCACTATTTATGTTATGAGTATAATTATTATTACCTATGTAATAGTAGGTGAGCCTATTGCCATATACTTACTGGGCACAATTCCAGACTCCGTGCTACTATTGAGAATTTTTTAATTTGAGTTTTAAAAAACTAAGTAATCGAAAATTAAAAAAATAACAATAATACTTTACCTGACCCGGGAATCCAACCCGAGACTCCTTGCCCAGCAATCGCACTTGCAACCACTCGGCCAACGAGCCAGCCTACAAAATTCCAACTACCTAAGTACATAATATAACTAACTTCAACTAAAACCTTAACCTTATTTGTGGGTTGAATACGTCTATATAGGTACACTACTGAACATTGGTAAAGCCCTGGGCTTTTAGTTAGTTAACACAATATATTGTCAAAAATAATATTTCATATTGTGTATATTGCAGCTCAGATGGTTCGCTCTCGATAAACTGTTAAAAGTAATGGTACCTACCTAGCTGCCTCATATCTCTGCTCTAACAACAAAATATTAATGTTTCGATTTTGTACACTTAGCCACCCAAACGTAACCTTTTTCGAATATAACAATCAACAAACAAACCCGTGGTAGTCAGATCGAATCTGGACCACAGAGAAAGATAGTAAATTAGTATATTAAATACTGGATTATGGATCTCTTCTATATAAGAGGGTTTCATTTGTTTACGACACCTGCGAAAAGAGTACCTCATCACCCATGATGAGAAATATATTCTAGTCTGACTGATCACGGAAGATACGTACAATAGAACATGACTGTGAACTCATTGCCTTGTTCCCAACGTGCAAGGTCATTTGTGTAAGCAATAGCAACTGGTCGTTTTGTTATCGATTACCGATAACTAGCCACCGTACCCACCTTATGATCGCCACAAACATGCACGTACCCATAGGGAAAAGGAGATCTCTACTTAGCTAATGGAACCTAAGTAGATACCTATATATTTTAGTACTTACTAGAGACACTTAGATAATTACGTAACATCTCGCACTCGTATCTAGGGATAAGTAATTGCTATGAAAATATGAAAGCAGTCATTTAACGAGTCATATCAGTAGTAAAGACGTAAGTACTTAACGTCAAGTTCGTACGTAGCTAGACTGACAAAGGCAGATATTTACGAATAAGATAGGTAGGTACTAGGTACCAAATAAGGTAGGCACTTTGATCATTACATATTGGAACTCTCTCAGCGCTTTCGTAATCAGGGCGACTCGATAAACAGGAGGTTTTTTTGTTTTCGTTCAGTCTTGTTTATCATTATTTATACTTATAAATAAACAATCACCTAGCATTCGGCAGATTTTGTTACTGTTAGAATTTGGACAAGTTTGGTGAAAAAATCTAGAGCTTGTCATAATGGAAGTTGATAAAGGTATTAATAAAAATCTTAATTACGGTCATATGCCCATTTATTAGCTGCACTTAACATACATATTTCAAATCCATATTGCCAATGATATCGCTTAAAAAATTAGATAAACCATATTATAATACTATTTGCAATTATTTACTTAGATATATTCTTCTCGCGCCACAGCCACACTATAGGTAGCAAAAAGTTCTCTATGCCCGAGGATAAACATACATGTTAAGTACTTCAAAAAGTAGTAATTTTGTCTAATGAACTGTTTAATTTGTGGCTAAATATACATAAAAAAGTACACAAGTACTATATGAAGTTTGGAAATTACTTTGAAATCAGTAGATTCGATAAATACTTAACTTGGTTAACAACACTAGAAGTATAGAATAAGAAATACAATGCATTTCAAATTGCTAATTCAAACAACTATAAATAATTTGACAACTATAAAATAATATTTTGATCCAACAAAAATATTGAAACTGTATGTTGAATACAAATATTCATTTCACTAATCCTAATAATAGCTACACAGTATTATTCCTATATTTTCTACAAAAACTTTAAAATTGCAAACAGTCCTCTTTGAAAATAGTCAATATTTCTCTACATAGCCTCGACTTCGTTCTTCGGCACCGGTACGTTCACAGGTGGCACATCCTTGATATAGTTCTGCAACAAAAAACATGCAATTTAGGGTAAAATGATTATAGAAAAAGGATTTAAGAAGTAATTGTATTAGCAGTTCTTGTAAGAAAATATTCCAATTGCCCCAAAATCCAAATTCCCAAAAAACTATAATATTATATAAGCCCCTATACTTCCCCAACAATTTGCTCAACCCGGAAATCAAACCTAGACCTCTCGGGAGTCGCACTTGCGTTCACTATAACAATGAGGCAGCACCTTATTTCCTCTTCAAGGAAAAGGTAACAAGACCTCTGTCATGAAGTGTTACAAAGCCATAATTTCATTTAAGTATATTGATAACTTATAACCGACCTCTTGCATACTGAGTTGACCATAGGCAGAATAAGTTTCGTGCGTAGGTAGCGGTGCCATCTTGTCCGGGTGACAACGCAGGCGATGCGAGCGCAACGTTGATGCGTACGAGAACCGTTCGTCGCACCATTTGCACGAGAGTGGTTTGTCGCCCGTGTGTGTGTACATGTGCACCTGATGGTAATAGTTAAACATAATAAATTAGTCATTTTAAAATTTAAATAAATGACATAACACAACAGTATAAAAGGATTCACGACAAGGTAATCTACTACTTAACAATTTTTTATTAACAACACCCAGCCCATTCCTTACCTTCAAAGTCTGTCTTCTCTTGAACGCCTTGTTGCAGTAGGAGCACACATGCCTACATTTGTCTTCGTGTACTAACAGATGTTTGCGCAGTGTGCGCCGACTATTCAGCACTCGCCTACAAATGTAGCATTCATACGACGTGTCTTCATGAGTATCCAAATGCGTCTTCAGGTTCGAATAAGTCTTAAATCTGTTGTAAAAAGCACATGGTTTGTCATAAATTGCTAAGTACTAGCTACAGTAAGTCATAAAAATATTGGCAATGGAAGAAAATTGTACAAATAAATGTTCTTATCACACAAAATTGCGTCTTTCCAAAAGTCGGTGTATATTAAATCGCCCGGTACTGTGAGACATTGTTGTTGTTCATAAAGTTCAATTTTGCTTGCGATAGTAATTAAAAGGAAGCAAATTATACTAACGATTTAGAGCATTTCCTGCAAACGAAAGGCTTGTCGTCGCTGTGTATAGCGCGGTGCTGGCGCAGCTCTCCATTAGTCCCGCACGCGTACCCGCACAGGTCGCAGACGTAGCCCTTGATCTTGTCGTGCACCACGCGCTTGTGAGACGCTGCCGACGAACGAGTCGTAAACCTAAAAAAATGTTTGTCACATTCATTAGCGTCTTTATATTGCGTAACTCAGTTTGTCAAATTAATTTAATTTATATTCATAAAATCATAAGGTATTGACATGATTTCACACTTCATACTAAGTTTTGCCTAAAGTGTGTTTAATAAATTATGTTTTAATTTGAATCTGTACATTATGGTAGAACTTACTTCATGTTGCATATATCACATCGGTATATTTTCCGCTCCTCTATAGGTATGTGAGATCTTTCGTGAGATTTCAATGCTTCCTTTGAATAGAATATTTTTTCACATGATGCACAACAGAACTTCCTCTCTGATTTAGGTATGTGTCGCATCTTATGTTTATTTAAGGCAGCTAATGTTTTTGTTACACGTGGGCATTTATCACAGCTGTTAAAAAGAAAAACATGTCATATTAAGATATAATGTCTACAATATTAGTTGATTTTTGTAATATGATAATGGTCAGTAGGCACTTACGATAGTAAATTGGGGTTCCTGTGGTCTTGTACGTGCTTGTACATAACAGACTTAGATTTAAGTGTGATACCACAGATACAAGTCACTATTGGCGACACTTTATGTGCCACTTCAGAGTGCTCTTTCAGTCTATACCAGCTCGCAAACTCCTGTTCACAATGAGAACACAAAAATCTGCAAAAAATATAATTATTTGTCATCCCATAATTATTGTATTAAAAATATAATTACATTAGTAGGTTAATAATTACCTTATAAAGTCTTTCACATTCAAACTATCATATTTTAAATTCTTTTTTCCTTCTTCATCATCAGTTTCGTCTGAATTCTTTCTTACTTTCCTACTTTCTATTTTATGGTCTGATACATGTTTGTAAAGCACACTTTTCGATTTGACTGCAAAACCACAGAGGCAGTACACATATGGTTCATGGTTATGCTCATTTAGAAAATGTACTCGTAACCCGCTCCATGTTTTTGATTTCTCTCCACACAACTCACACTGCAATCTAGAAGTAATATTTTATTAAAACTAGGAAAATTTTTAATATAACACAGTTATATTACTTTCTCATCTGAAGATCAGTATGAATGAATTTAAATGGAACAAATAAGTTTATAAATTCTTACTTTACAAAATCCTTCACTTTTAAACAAGGCTTTTTAAGAACATTATTGAACTCTTCTGTCTCTTTTTCTGTCATTTCTTTTCTTTTTTTGCGATGTCGTTTGACTGGTTTCAATGATGCTATAGCAATATCATCAAGATAATCATCTTCATCATCATTGTGTATGTCTACTTCATCATCACCACTTTGTCTGTCTGGGAAGATATCAATCATAGATAGTGATGCATCATTGTTCAATGCACCTGTAAGTTTAACTAATATTAGCACAGCCGTATTTACTATAATTTATTAATTTAATTTATTGTTACATCAATAAGTAACTATTCTTGTATATGAAAGAAATTTTAAGGAAATGATGTTATTATGTTACTTACATACAATATCTTCAGCAGATACTTCATCTTTAACCTGCAAGGACAAACTTATTGGTTTATACTTTACACAACAAACATTTAATTTTACAATAGATGTTGACTAAAAAGTTTGACTTTATCTTTCACCTCAGCTTCATCAACCTAATCAAATTTGACCAGCAGTGGCCAGTCGACCAGTCTTGGCCTGTTGATCTGATGCAGTTTGATTATCAGAACAACAACTAAAATAAAATAACATGTTATTCGCCATGGGGGTCACCAGTAAGCACCAGTGTTAGCAGAGGAATTGCCTTCAACAGTTTTCTATTGCCAGTCAAAGCATTAATTGATTTGTATTTCCTTATCCTTACAAATATTAAGTCGTAACACACAGTCCACATGTGTTTGATAGCAAGGCATCTGCTGCGATATGAAATAAGACAATTAAACATTCATAAAAATCTTTGACATACCTCAGATTTTATATGGATGTTGAATTCAATAGGGGCCTGAGGGCATTCAAGCTTGATGTCATCCACATTTCCATCATGCATCTTTTTTAATGTATCCTGTGCTTTTATGCATTCCAAAATAAATAATTCAATGGACTGCATTTTGACTTCACAGTTCATACAAATTTTTGTTGGCAAAACATCATTTTCATATATCTAAAAAGGTATAAATTGTTGTTTTACACAATGCATAAGATAGAGAGACAACACAAGTAGACCAAGTAGAAAGCTAATTTGTTTTAAAATAAGGTTTTGTTTAACATTAATGTATTTATTCATTGCAGTGTTTAAGTGATAAAACCGAAACAAATAATTTATTCAATGTAATATCATCGAGTAAAATTTAAAAGGTAATGTAGCAATAAATAGTATCTAATGCAATTTGAATTTGTTTACTTATTGAAATTACACTAGAAGCTATACATACGATTATTTGAATAAAATCTTGCAACAATTTCAGAATATTTTTATTATTTTCGTCCAGTAGGTCTTTCAGAAACCCATCTTTCTTAGCACATAATCTACACAAATCTTTCATGTTCGAAGCCATATTGACAAGAAACCTGGGAGAATACTAGAATAGAGTCCAAATATGAGAGAAATCAGTTTATCAGCTTGTGTACGAACTACATTTTAAAAATTAAACAAATCATTATTTATTTTACAGCCATCATAGGCAAAACACCATCAAATAATAGAGAATATAGTTTTATTTTTAAAACACGCCAATGTGAACCAAAGCACAAACCACAGATTGCAAAATGCAAATACCAACCATAGACTAAGCCCATAATTTGATGCAAAATAAAAGCTAAACTTGATCTTGAATTCTTGATTCTTCACCCTTGTATTGGTCCATTGGATTCTTGGTAAATTAACGAACAGCACATTCGCTGGTTGATTATTACTATTTACTACTTGGGAGAACATGGTCATATTTTCAGAGCTAAAAGATTGTGTATAAAAAAGAAAAGGTTGTCCAAAAATCTTAAAAACATAGGTGTACTCTACATACTTCTATAAAATCTACAATTTTTTTGTTGGAATTAAATTTTATCATTACCTAAAATATTTAAATAAAGATTAATTTTATCTCTTTTTAATAAAGATATAAAAATATAATATTATTCTTTTGCGTTTTTGAATTTCGAATTTCTAAAACTTTCATTCACTTTCAACCAAGTTCCATTCATTCGTTCGTTCCTAATAAGTTTGTGATTGTGAATTGTGATGCTACATATACATACATTATAGTAATTTATTTTTTGGACGTTAGAATGTGTTTGTCAATGTCGAGTGTTTATTGATATTATACAAAAATATGTTAAATGGCAGGAATTATTAATTAGTCACATAATATGAAATACGAAAATAGTTTTGTGTAGTCGATAATCAGTTTTATTATGTACGCAAATAGTTCCAAACTGCTTCAAGATGATGTAGTGCTTTGCATCTACCATGGAAAAACAGTGAAAAACTTCAGATAATTCAACTACTACAATGGATGTGCATCCCGAATATGTCGAAACAGCTAAATCTATCCTATCTTTCGACAATCGAAGTTACTTCAAAGCTGAGGATAGTGGATACCACACGTCGTTTACACCGGAGCATTCAGGATTATCGAGTGGATTTCTTGATCAATCAGTCGTAACAACAACAGGTTTTATTGATGAAATACAAGTGGATTATGTTAGCCCGGAAACTACTTACAGGTACAACCAATTAAAACCTCGAAATGACAATTCAGAAACTCCACCGCCAAGGCGGGCTGTCAAGCGACCCTATTCGAGTGTCGAATCTGCAAAACAGACAATACCAACTCCCACAACATGGATTGCAGGGAAAATTCAGAGTTTAGAAGTGAGTGAAGATAAAGAGAATTCTACTATATCCTTACCATCAGACGTCTCTCATAGTAGTGGGAACACAAGATTCATTTATAGATTAAACATATGTGAACAAAAGTTTTCATATCCTATAACACCCATCAAGAGGAACTGTAAACTAAGTCCTTGTAGAAAATCCGGCAGAAAGCTAGACTTTGTAATACATTCCTTGTCATGTGATAAGCATGAGCTAGAGCCAGTACCTAAAGAAGTATCACAAACTAAAATAGGAAATACACAACCTATTCTAGCCAGACCTGACCAAAAAATAGATATATTAGGATTGTTAAACCAGAAATGTGCCATACCTCCATTAAAAAATATTTTTAAATACCTGAGTAATGATGATATTTGCACCTTCTGTTCTGTGAGTAGTACATGGAATGACATTTGGAACTTGCACAACAGTGATCAGAAGAAGCAAGAGATACGTAAGCATTTGAAAAATGCTAAAGAAAATCAAGAAAATTGTGCAAAACATGTCATTACTAAAAACAGAGCAACTAAGGTTTTTGATGGTTGCCTTAGACAAATTCACAATGAGCTTCATGAGTATCCTATGAATAGTACTCCACTTAGTCCGCAGTATTCGCCAAGAACGAATCGGTTCAGGAAATTCATCAAGGTATATTTTGTTTTTAAAAATGCTAATTATTATTCTCTGATGCAATATTTTTTTTATAGATCCTACATAGTCCTATTAGAATGTCTTCCAGTAAACTTAAATAAACAGTAAGTGTTATATGTAAAGAACTATACTTTACACCTGCAAACATTGACTCGAGGCAGGAATTTCATTACTACATGTAAAATTTTTACTTTCTGTTTCAGTCTGCATCTCTGGATTCTCGCTTGCAGCTCTCGTGTGTAAGGTGTTCCCATCCAGCAAAAGTGACTGAGGAACCCACTGGTGAAGAGTGGGTCGAGTGCACAAATACTGCTTGCTCCTACCAATTCTGCAGATCGTGCAACTGCAGTAGGCATCCAGGTAAGAGCTGTAATCAGTACGACTTAAATGCACCGAGCCCCTCTAAAAGAAAGAAATGTGATTATGCTGTTGGTACAAGAAAGAGCAGAAAGAACTTACGTAGACTTCTGTGATCTGTTGTAAACAACTTGGTTTTAAACTAGTGTTTTTTTATTATTATTATTTGTATATGACATTCCATAATTTGAAATTGTTAAAAAGTAAAGAAATTAGAATTAATTTGATTGATCAATTGAAATTATTTCGTACTTTTTATACTTGAGATTAAGGGGATAGTACCCATGTCTGATTTTGTGCCATTTTTATCACTTTATTGAATTTATTGTTCAACACAAAGTCAGTAGAAAGTCTGTTTGGCAGTTTTAAATAAGGTTCTGTTAACTAAGGATTTCTACGGGTTTGCTCATTTTATATCCACAATGTGTTTGTGGATCAAGATCTAAATAATTGCTCTCAGCAACTTATTACAGGCAGTCTAATGTTTTCTGAATCAAAGTAAGTACCTCACTTTCTTATTGTTTTTGCTAAATACATCAATTTTAAATTAGCTGATGTAAGTAGAATAGTGTCTATCATGTAGTGTTCCATAGTTCTTGGGAAAATATCAATTGTAAGCAAATTATAGCCATTAATATACAAGCTAAATTTAAAAGTAAATAGGTAGAACACAAAATCAGAGTTTGTTGTCGAAACTAAGACTGCCTGGAAAAGTTTTCGTTAGATTTTATTCAAGGAATAAAGTCCACTTTTAACATTTAAATAATAATTACTCAAAAGTAAGACTGTTTTTAAATACATCACTACTCCTAATTAGTTATAATTATTTCTCTAACTGTATAAAACTCTAAACATGTACTGGATAGTATTTTTTACACATATGTGTCTTATAATCGAGGTGAAATTGAAATGTGTTATAGATAAATAGTATTTGAATACAATTCCCAGTTAAAGCAAGTAAATTAAAATTATACAATTTTTTCTAAATTCGTTGTAAATAAACCACACCTTCGTTGGCTAAATTCAGTTTTAATGTCAAAGATTTGTAGGAAAAGTATTAAAAGTTCGTACCTAATTCATAAAATAGACAATAAATACATCAACAATTATTTGATGAAAAAAGAAATTGGAGAAATTATTGTATAATTCCAATTTTACCTGAAATTTCAAAAGACATTTTAAATGTTATAAAATCCTCCCTAGTCTTTTAATATAAGCATGTCATCCATGTATTATCACCAGTGATCGGAAAAAGGTGAGCTAATTTACCTAATCTTCAAGGAACAAAAAGTGGAGACTTCCTTACTACAACAATTTTTTCGGAAAAGTTCCGGTTCCAGTTTCGGGATATTTATATATTACATTTAATATAATTGTTATTAATACAGAAAACAATTGATTTCGTTTCGTGATTTTATTTCTTACATTTAACACAAAACCAAACAAAATTAAAACTTTTATTGTTTTCAACAATAAATATTTTAAGATGTAAAAAAGAGCATAAAATAAAATTATTCAACACCAAAATTAACATTCTGTATTAATAACAATTATATTAAATATAATATATGAATATCCCGAAACTGGAACCGGAACTTTCCCGAAAAAATGTTGTACTAAGGAAGTTTCCACTTTTTGTTTTTGTTCCTTGAAGATTAGGTAAATTAGCTCACCTTTTTCCGATCACTGATTATCACATATCAATGTAAAACATCGAAGTTTATGTTTAACTTTGCGAAAAATTACTAACATGTAATGTATTCATTAAATGGTGAAAAACAAAGGATTTTGTATGTTCACTTACCGCCTTGCCAGTGCCTTAGTAGAGTCGAAGTCTCATTTAAGTTCTAAGTCTTACTCGAATCAAATGACATTAATTTGGTACAAGCCAATGTTCTACTTACTAACTCACGGGCCACTAGGCATAGTCAGAAGGGGTTACATTAAATTGGAAGTCTTAAAATTATGTTTCTCCACACTGAAGTAATTCACCACCTACCACCACTATACCGCCTCTGGCTGTGGCAAGTGGCTCTAATGTTTCTTTAGTCTTTACCTTTATGTCAACTAGTGTCGTAGTGATGTTATTTCTATAGTAACGTGAACAAACTTCTTAATTTATAAGATAAGTAGTTATTAAGTGTGTGTAGCTTTTAATTGCTTTGTAAATAATGTAGTGTGCTGAACATTGAAGTACGCCTGCTGAAAGTTAAACATTCAAAAGTCGAATTCAAATGTTTGTTTATGAAGGGACCCATGTTTTAAGTTTAGTGTAGCTGTTTATACCTTTTCCCCCACAAAGGAGCAAGGTATAAAGGGACCAAGTGTGCACAATTTAATTTTATTATCAACAATTCGTAATACTCAAGATTTAATTTTAAAATGTTGACGATCTGTGTCAATAGATACTGATTTATTCGAATTAATAATTTTAAATTCAAAAATTCATGACATGTATTAGTAGTATTCTTTTTTATTCTGTAAATATATTACAATTTATGTATTTGATTGGTAATAAAAAACGTTTTAAACCCAATTATCTTTACTTACTGCATCCATGGAACTACACACATAGCTACATTTCTTTCCTATTGTCATAAATAAAACAAAGTTTTGTGAAACTTATTTATTATACAGTTAAAATTAATATTTACAAATACATAGTACTTAATAGTCATAGAGTTTTGCGGCAGTAATCCACCGAAGTTGGTCGCTTTAAGTATTTCTGATTTTAAACCATTAAAATGATTTAACACTATAGGTAGGTATATTAAAACAGATTAAGGCACGTCTTTTATTTGATAATAATTTAAATAATAAATAACGGTCTATGGTAAATTGTAGGCGATGGACGATCGTTACGAAAAATATAAAATATCGTCTTGACTAAGCCCGGTGGTACGCTAACTTTGCACATTCCTTCTTAAAGACGTTTTCAGCCGAGCCCCATCACGAACTTTGGTATTTGATACGCCACTTGAGGTATTTGCATTATCATAGACATTCTGAAAAAGTACAAATATGATGTGTTAGAAACCAAACATTGAATATGTTTTTGTTTCGTTGGTATACGTCATGTGCGACTTATAGACCATCATCCCCGGATCCCCGGGCTATGCAGTGTTTCGAGTATCGATTTCGAAATTATTTATTACTAGCTTTTACCAGCGGCTTCGCTCGCGTCACAAAAGGATAAAAGTAGCCTATGTGACATATACCAATACACACAGTGCCATCTATACCAATACTTTTGTTTTTCCTCGAGAATATAAAAATTTTCCGGGTTAAAAAGTACCCTATTATTTAATCCGGACTTCTAACTTTACGTCTGCAAAAATTCAAAGCAATCGGTTTAGTAGTTACGGCGTGAAAGTGGAACAAACAAACAAACTCACTTTCCGATTTATAATATTAGTAAGGATAAGGATTAACGCATTCACTGCCCAGTGGATTTTCTCCAGTGCCCGAATTATAAGACATACTACAGTGCCCCGCACGCACTATTGCGTTCAATGTTTGCCCTTTTCGTGTGCCGGAAACTCATATACGCGTTCTTACGGCTCCCACCGTGTGCCCGAAACTCATATATGCGTCCGTTCGACTCTCGGCGAGTGCCCGTGACGCGTCTGTGCGTTTGTTATATACTTACGAAAATACGATAGAATATTATGTATCTGTTGATAAAAGTTAGGGTCATGACACACTGTAATGGAATTTATAATCCATAAGATTATTTATTGTATGTAGTGAAATTGAAAAATTTATCTAAATATAAACTAAGGATGAACGTAATAATTCTATAGTTGGTAAGTAGGTTTATATTTAGAACATTGTTGTATTTTAACCGACTTAAAAAAATGAGGTTCTCAGTTTGACCTGTATGTTTGTTTGTACGCGATTATCTCGCGATTGGTTGAACCGATTTTGATGCGGTTTTCAGAAAAACTTCTGTTACATTTAGGGGATGGATTTAGTATACTAATTAACCAACTTCAAAAACAGGAGGTTGATGTTGGATTTTTAAACGTATGTCACGACGCGATGCCAGTATATATAAATTATAGTCTTTCACCATAGATATTTAGTAAGGTACTTATTATCTCGTATAGGTTTATCCTAAAACATTTCGATAGTTGGCTATAGCGCCTGGTGGATATGGTATTTAAAATCTTCTAAGGCACCGCCGTGCATTGTATTGCCGTTATCAGCAAACTAATGTGATTCTATTGTGCGTATGTATGTGTTATGTGAAATTTTAGGTTTCTTGGAAAAAAAAGAGATGATCGAGATAACATTGAAAAAAAATACCACCAAAGGTGATCGTAGTCTTACGTGAATATTTCTTTTTTCAATTGTTCTAAGTACATTTATATTTCGAAACAGCTGAACAAAATTATTGATTATTGCATTGGTAGTAGAAGAATAAGTTTTTTTTATAATTCGTACAAAGTGTGTAATGACCTTTATCAAAGAAATCAGATAAGGAAGTACATATGTATAAATATGGGTTTCGAAACAATAGACCCTCGGACGCGTCGACGGGCAGCAGGTAAAAAAAGGGTCAAATGAATAGAACGCATATTTGAGTCCCGGGCACATAGCGTCGTGTCACAAAACGCACAGACGCGTCATGGGCACTGAATGCGTTAAATATATTTATTAAAAAAAAAAAAAACATTGCCCCACACTAGGATTGTGTCCTGTATTGTGGGTGCGTTTACACATACAAGTTCACATACATATGACACCCAGACCCGGAACAACAATCTGTGGAGCACACAAAGTGTTGTTCCTTGCGAGAATCGAACCCGCGATACGTTCCGTGGCAGCCAGTTGCCCAGCCACCGCGCCAACCCGCAACCGTGCAGTCAATTCACATACATACTTGTATATACTCGTGTAAAACGAAGTCTAGAATTATGCTCTATGCGAATATATAACAAGAAACGAGACTGGTCATCTCCTTTACATGGGATTGCCGTAGTCGTACAGTATTGCTCCAAAAACCAACAGTTACGAAGATTGTTTTAGTATTTCCACCACCATTGCCAATTTAAAAGTAACTACCGTTGTTTTTTACCAGTGTTTGCTAGAAAAATTGCTACAAATTAATATTTACAATATTTACATTTTACTAACCTTAGTACTCTGCTGCAAACTTATGGCTAACTCCACCACCAGTTATACTTGTTGTACAGAAGGAACGTCTCTGTATTTAAGAAAACATATTTACAATACAACTAAATTAGGAGTTGTGGGTCCCTTTAACATGCACTATACAGTCGGGCCAATTTCACTAGTCAACTATTTGACTATACTATACTAAAATACTAACTACTACTATACTAAAATCAGACACAATAGAAACTGGTTTATAAAAGTTAAACTATCAAAAACTGTGAAATCGGCCGTCATTGTATCATATTCTAAAAGTGATTCAAGTAGTGTAAGTGGCCAAAACGCCCAAAGTTTACATAAACATACCATTTTCAATTTTCGGTACTTCACATGAAAAGGGTCACAAAAAAGTAGGTCTATTATTTATAAAGGAAGTTGTACCTGTGCAAAAGCAAGTCAAGTGACAGTAGGTAGTTATTGGAATGCGGCTGCTTTATCGTTCTCATATACCGCTATGTTCTACTTAAAAAGTAAGTCGACAAATGGTCGACGTTTATGACCCAACCGAAGTCTGAATATCTCAAGCTTACCGGCCAATATTTGCATAATTTGGCATTGCAATAACTTATGTTGGTGAGTATTTCAATATTTTATAAACAATGTAGAATTTATACGTGTTTGTAAAATTAAAACTGCCAATACGCCTAAAGCGTATACCTAAATAGTGCTTATGTACCAGTGCACCGTAGGTAACCTAATTAAAAATGTATAATTAATTACTTTAATTAGCATAATATGTTTAAAAAAATAATATATTTGATTTAGTTACTCAATTGATATTATTATCGTCAGCCATCCACTGATGGACATAGTTAAAAAGTTAAAAATTCTACCCTCAAACCGCTACTGTTTGTTAAACTGGTTAAGTACTTGGACCAAAGACTTCCTAGTCTCAGAATCTGAGCCATGTGAATTTTCTCTATGATCCACATCGATATTTACAAGGCGTAAGTACAAAGCAGTTGGTTAAGTTGCAAGTAAATAACTCACGAGACAGACAGGCCATTGTAGAGCCAAGCGCGCCAGGTCTGCGGTGTGGGGGCAGCACCGTCGATGCGGGCTTCTATCAGACCGCACAGTGCGCGGCGGTCGTGCGACCGACCCGACCGCGCGTCGCACACCAGGCGCTTGCGACATTCACCGTCGCATGTACCACGACGGGGACTGTTCTTCCAATAATGCCTGAAAAATTATTCGGTTCGTATTGGAACTATTTGGAACATTTTTTCCTAATCAAGAAAACTTTGGCCTAAGCAGTATTAGATATGATTTAATAAGCATAAGTAGAAGTCAGTTACAAATCAACAATTACTTGTAATATAAGTTAAAAACATCTTCTTTGGTAGTCATTTCGTCAATGAACTTGTCCCAGTCCTGAGGCCTCAGCGCTGGCATCATGTATGCAGATCGAGCTGAGTACAGCTTGTACCAGATCGGGTAGCCGAATAGATTAGCCTCCTTCAAGTTCATAATCCAAGTCTCATGATCGACCACTTGCTGAAAAATGTATTCAGGTTAGTTAATAACAGTACATATTTTTATTTATTTACATATTCCCTTACTACTGAATTTTCTGGTTTTTAGAATTGGTACTTAGATACTTTGGCCTAAAAATAGAACCAGCATAACAACAAGGCAATCCAGTACAGTCGGGGAGCTATTAAAATAGACCTAAATGTTTAAGTAAGTAGTAAATTGATAGTCACCCGAGTCGTAGCTTCATGGTCACCATCTACATAATATATTCGATAACCTAAATTCAAGTCGTAGTACGGTGTAACAGAGGGTCCAACGTACGCAATACTTGTGGCTCTACCTGTAAACATCAAAAAGGATATTTCATAAAGCTTGTAAGTACTTACATAATGTCATCCGAAATGTTTAATATTTCTAAATAACATTTATGCAGCTCAATCAACTTACCAAGGTCATTCGGATCATAAAAAACTTCAAATTCATCGAAATGTGTATGTCCGAAAAATTGGGCCGTTATCGTTGATTCGTATCGGTTTACAATGGCATAGTAATTACGGCTCCATACTTTCAAACAGTCGGAGTGGCCTGGTGGTATGTGCCCAATAATGTGGACCTTTTCACCACTGAACTCTGCAGATTGCAGTTCATAGATCAACCACTGAAGTTCGGTCGCTGGATCTGTGCTGTTCATTAACAGCCACCTGAAAATTAATAAGAATTATTAGAAAAACAAAGTAGTAAGTGTTTTGGGCAAACTCGGTCGTATAATTGCAGATTTTACTCACCAGTTTTTATTATTGCAGTAGTTCATATTAAGCGATATGATACGGAAGCCTGGTCGTACAAGCACCGAGTAGAAGGCACCACGGCGCACAGTGTGGGAGACTCCGGCAGGCAACCAGCGACGCCATTGTGCGTCCAGCTCATCATACAACCACGCGATATTCAGTTCCGAAGAAGCTATGTACGGTGGCGGGAAACTGGAAGTAAAGTAAGTAGGTTTAAAGTTTCTATTAAAGTTGCTACTAAAGTTTCTATAAAAGTGCAAAGTTCTTAGAAGACTGAACTTCTATTTCCACTATTTTCTACACAATACACTGCCACGTTGGAGACTGCATAGAATTCTAAAACTACTATTCACAGAACAAAACAATAAAATTATACAATCGTGATTTGTGCTGAATGACAGGTATTTCCGTCCACTAGGCAATATTATGTATGATTAACAAGTTGATTTCTATAATAACGGAATATACATCCGCATTAACTGTGTCGCACATGTTGATAACATACTCTTGATGGAGGTTGACTCTATAATTAAAATGACCCCGGACAGTCGTTAATTGCGTCTTATGTGGTGCTGTACCTGTTCACAGGAGATGACTCATGGTTTCCAAGGGCCGGGAATATGGGCACACCGGGGAACATATCCGACATTTGTGCAACAGTTTCTTGGAGAACTTTCAAATTTTCTTCTTTGGTTTGGTTCCATACATCGTGAGGCGGTAGATCTCCAGTCCATAAAATGTAGTCGATATCCTGGAACACAACACGAAGTGAATCAGTAGGATTCATTTGTTATGAATCATGAAAGTGTTAAAAGGTCAAAAACCTGATTTTCACCCTAATCCGGTCGTTTAAAAACTTGTTATTTAATCAAAACTGTAGGACAATTTTGTCGACAGACAAAGGAGTCGAAGGGGTCATTATTTTTCGGTAAGCAGATAGGTACATAATATGTAGGTATACAGATCCTAAATATGAACTAAGGTTCATGCATGATACATACAGTGTGAGTGTCAGCTATGTGTTTCAACATGTGGTCGATGGTTCGTTTTGGTGTGTCACACTTGCGGTAGTCTCCCCAGCGACCGGCACCTCCGCCTGGAGTCAGTGCTGGACCGCTTGATGCACGACAGCATAGGGGCTCGTTGCACTCGGCATTAGCACCTGGAATTTAAAAGAACAAAGTTGATTAACAACCTTAAGAAACAAGAAAAGGTTAATATTGAACAATTCAATGGACTGAAAACGGTTTACTGTTTTGTTAAGATTCTGAGTTTTCGATAGATACATAAGACCAATTCTAATAAAATCTTACCTTCAGCGTAATACGGATCAAAATGAGTATCAGAAATCTGCAGAACTTTGAAAGTCGGAGCTTTTTCGACAGGAGCTTCTAGTGATCGTATCGCAGGTTTCGGCACAGGTGGAAATGCTACTTCCCACTCGTGGTACGGATTATAAACGTCGCCACACGCATCTCCAATAACAAAGCTGCAAATCTCGTCTGGTCCTATCGTAATACGCTTTAATACGTAAACTACTTCACTCTGAAACGAGATAAACGTGAGATCAATAACAGTACTATAGTGAAGAGCAGGTCATCTTATTGATAGACTTCACGCGTGTATGCTCACTTACCCCGAACAATCTCGTGATGCCTTCGCACACGCGAGCTGATTGAATCTTTAGTGAAACACAGAATTGATAGATCATCTTGTTAATCTCATCTTTGCTTTTACCGAGTCTTATGTAATGCTGTAGTAATCCCGCGCCTGCTTTGCACGCTGTGCATGACACCTTAGACATAACGGAGTGCTCTACTTCGTAATAAACTTGTTTTAGATTGAGAAGTTTAAGAGCCTTTTCCACAAAAACGGGAAGGTTGCTGCTCTTATCGCTGTCCCAGAGGAGACGAGAATAATTTCTTTTTAACGCTGTCATGTGGGCTAAAAGTTCAGTCTCATTAGCAGATGGCGGTAAAGTGTGATTATAATTAGAAGGAAGGAAGAATGGTTCCTCGTTGCGTGGTGTCAGTGTCCAATTCCAGTCATCGTTAGGTGGCATCCATTTTATAACTGGTCGATAATTTCTTCCTTGCTGTTGTAAAAATATTGGGCTACCTGCAATTAGAAATGTTGTTTCAGTAATTGTGACCTACTTAAGTTATGTTGCCTGCAGCGTAAGGTTAAAATCGTACCTGAAGTCATCATCAAACAGGAAAGAGTCGCGATCCATTGTAAGAGCCATCGTATCCTTATAATCATAACTGAGGAACGTGGAAGAAGAGAAGTATCTGTAACAATGAAAACGTTACGTCAATTGAAAATACATAATACACAATTACACAGTACAGCCTGTTCATGATGGTGAAATAAGGACAATATTTACGTCTGTTTTTCGGTAAACGTTTCAATTAAAGTATTTTTTTCATTGTAGTTTTAGTTTTATGTCTACGATAAAAATATATCTTGTCGGTCGGCCTCGATGAGGTTTAGCTGGTAATCGATAGGCCAATTTCGTTTGATTTTCTTTGAAACCAACGCATTTTGTAGTTGCAGATAAAACACCATACTTATGCCTATATTATGGCTTTAAACATTTGTAAGAAGATTAGTTAGAAAATACTTAATAGGTATGTATGGAATTTAAATTGTTACGGAATAACTTGATTATAAATATTTCAATGGGCGACATTTGAAGTCTCGTAGTTTTAATATGACGTTATATAATAATTACGAACGATCTGGATCACGCCTCAGTTTTCCATTTATGTAACTAAGTACCCATAATCACGTATTATTATGATACACAGCATAAATAAATATTGTGCAACAGTACAAGCTCTGGCGCCAGTTCATTATATTTGCATAGTAGGTCTGTAAGTAGGAACATTGAATTAATATACTTAAGATTTATAGACATACACTACTTTCATTGCAACAACGCGTATTAACTTTAAAAGTAGGTACTTATTGAGCACTATAATCATAATCATAAACAATAATACCTAGAGTAATTAAAATATCTATTAAAATGTCGAGATTATAATGTTAAACATGCCATAAAATTACACTATTTTTTATGAACGTGGTCATTGATACATTACGAACTTAAACGAGAAATCGATTTGGTGTGATTCAATTTACTCTATTTTAAACTCAAATCATGAAGTATCATGGTTTAGTTTGCTACGATAGACATTGAAGTAAGACAGAGTTTGTGATTGAATTAAATGTAATAGTTTCAGTTTTTGATTCAAATTTTAACCCACATACAACCACATAGATAGTTATTTCGGTATTTCAAATATGTAAAATATGCTTTAAAATAACACAGAGGTTGCAATTAAACTGAATGCAATATTGTTTCAGTCTGCATTGCACACGTGCGTGGACCCACATGCAGGCACATAAATATTTAAGCGACTATGTAACAGATAATAAAATGTTTACATAAAAAAATAAAGTCATTGTTCTGTCTGAACAGTATCTCAAAGTGCTAAGGTTAAGCTAGGTATAGATAATGACAAAGCGAACAGCTCACATACATATAACGTGAAAGTCATAAAAGCGCTCTCTCTTTCTCAGTATACACGATATCCTCTGTATCTACTTCTCCATAAAGGTCCGTTATTCTAAAAATTTAGTGGTAAATTACTTGTAAATAACTTAATTAAAGTTTCTATAGAAAACTTTCCAATCAAAATCTTTCCAAAGTCATTGAAATAAAAGAAAATTTCGTAAAGGGTTTAATTACTGTCATACATTTTTGAAGAAACGAATAAAACGTCACCTACGTTTCATAGGAAATTGTTAATCATTAGGTATGTTTTAAATCATACTATTACATACTTATTCGTGGTTGCTATAATATGTTTCAAATTACAAGAAGCGAAATATTTTTTCCAAATGTCCTTTGTACGTTGTAACTTGCATGTGCAGTTGTCACAATCACGAATTTCACATTGCTGGTATGACACTGTTTCACAGTGACCTGTTATACCCGCGTAGCTTTTTATAACCATTTCGAGAAAAAAGTTTCACTTTTAAAATTTCGCAAAAACTGTTGCTAACTTTTACATTTCTTTTGGGTATGTATACCTAAATAAATGCAGATTTATTTAAGGCAAACGTTTAAAATTTGCTTTCAAAATTAGTCACTTTGAATAACAAACTATTAAGTAAGTGTTATGTACCTATTACAAAAAAAGTATGTTGTAAGTTGGCACAACTAATGTAAATATTATTTTACTCTAAATAGAATAAATAAATAATCGTTAAAATGAATTTATAGAATATAATGAGGGTCAAAGGCACATGTAATATGGTCGTAATAATTTATTTAAGGATTATCATTTCTATAAATTCTGCCTCAGCAAGCATGACGTGAATGTTTTATGAGTCAGCGGATTTTACAGACGGCAGTCGGCAGTTTGTATACGGACGTTGAGGTCGCCACTTTCTCTGCGCTTCATTGACTTTGTTGGAAAGTGACGGTCGTACGTATCGCACGATGCGTTTGCTCGACTATCATAACTCCTCAGCACAATGCAATTGCTCAATACATTATTGTTATACCAATCAGCTACACACATCTTTACACGGTTACATATTGTTATACCTACTGAGGTCATGAAGCTTTGCAGCTTTTGAATTTTCGATGATACTACGACGGTGTACCTACACGTCTTAGTGATAGGATTTGCCTGTATAAAACTTATCACATGGCACGGTAGTCAAGCAAAACAGTAAAAAGTCTCTGTGGTACTACTTTTTCTTAAAACCATTTTGGGAATGTTTTTAGTATTTTATGCTTCATTGCGTTAACGCAGTTGTTATTCGTAATGCAAACTATGCCACGAGTACTTGCGTATCCTACAAGTTTTATATCATTGCGTCTGCGCTTCATTCATTGTAGGTTAACGTGCTTGAGGTTAACCATCTAAAACACTTTTCACTTGTAAATTCTTTGCATTTCAGTTTAACAAAGCAATGCATTTCACATAGGAACGTTCATTTGTGTGAGCCGGAGATGATCACTATCATGTTTGAGCACGCTACGCCAGCTGCTACCTGCCTTACTAAGCAATTGTTGACATGCAATATTCTATAGCAGATACTTCACTCTTTTATTTGGTTTAGAACCAACTCAATTTTAATAACTAGTTCATATTCTGCAGAACTCAATGTGTCTCTTCTCATTGGCTAGGGTTAAGGACTACCAGTCTCTCAAATATACCTGTATGTGACACACTTACCTAGTTAACATTAACTCCAATATACTCTATTTTGATAATTCTGCAGATTTTTCACCAGGTTTAATATTAATTAGTGCAGATACTAGATAGTATGATTGTTTATGTAAACAAACATCATTATATTTACTTATTTATTCATTAATGGTTTGAGAGATTGTATACAATGAAACTAAACATATTTACTTTCATTTATTAGATAGATATGCATGAAATATAAACATAATTCGTACTTTTTTATCTTACGCTAGCTAATCAAGGTAGGTATTCAAAGTACCGATTTCATAAGTTATAATTCTCATTATTTACAAAAAGACGTTTGAAAGTTAAGTAGGGTTGGAAGTAGGTACCTACTTAATCAAATAACCCACATTAGTTATGGCTTGTAGCCACATTAGTTAAAGTTCAAATCATTTTGCCGTAGACTTAATGAGTGGGTACTTGTACTTTATATATCCTCGATCTCGATTTTATGATCAAGTAACATTGACCGCGGCCAGTCAGTGTTACGAGAGTTCCATATAGATCCAGTGATGTCTGTAGATATTTCAGGGTAAACAAATAAAGTTCACAGGCAATCGCTGGATGCAAGACGCTTCCAAGCGGCCCATCTGGAACTCAATTGATGAGGCCCTAAGGCCCTAAGGCCGTTCAGCAGTAAACATCTTGTGACTGATATGATGATTTAATGTTACTGTGTTTACAGGTTACGGAATAAATGTTCTTTTACAAACAAAACACACGAAATTATCCATTATGTTTTCGGCAAAGGTACTCACGTAACTGTTTGACGAGGAACTCCACTAGTTTCAAGCCATGCTAGAGCCATTCAAAAGGACTTTTAGTTACTGCTCATGAATATGTCTTAGTATGTCATGACTTCATGAGTCATGTCATGAGTCATGACAATCAAATGTTTTGGCAAAAAATGAATATCTGGTTATATTATTAAATATTAATTAAAATTTAATCGTAACTGTATAATAAAAATATGCACTTGTGTAAGTTTTCTCTCCACGAATGGCAGTTAAATCAAGGATTATTCATCCAGGCCACTTTCTTTCGAATGCTTTGAGCCGGGTATACCGTACAGTGTCCACTTTCACTGCCCACATTGCGTGATCTCCCTTTATGACTACTTATTATTTGAATATTCGTGAGATTACCTAATAAACAACACCGGGCCTTTGTAATTTTTTCTTTAACATACTAATCAAACACAGAACCCGACCGCATATAGCAAGATGTTAAAAATCAAAATGAAGTTTATATCATCGTAGCTTAAAATATATAATATTCATAATCTAACGATTACATTCAAATATGTAATGTGAATGTATTCAAACTAGATAAACTATTACTATTTACTTTTACTACTTACAGAATTACAGATATAACATGTCATTATCATTTAAGTAATGATATTATGAAAGTTACTTCATGCGTATGTTGACGTAGGTACTTGCTTACAATGTATGTAAATGTAGGAACTAGGAAGAATTTAATTCAATCTGTTGAATCATAACACTTATGAACACAACATTTAAAAGATAACTCGAGTGAAATTATGAAATGAAAAGAAATTTTCTACTTCATTCTAGATTCCAAAACAGGTCTAGTTTACTAGTTTATGCTTGGCTATTAAACCTGTACCTACGTAGTCTTTCTGCAAAAATGGCAGGCGCAGGGAGGGGCACCAGAGTGTCCGTTTCTAGTCTCAATACTACCTCTACACTGTTACTGTCGCGGACGGAACATTGGACTTGCATAACCCATTGCCTTCCGCAGGGTTTTAATTATACCTAATACATGTACGTTACGAAACACTCATTCATTAACCCCCCACGGATGTATTACAATCTCATGTCTAATGCATATCGTATCAATTACTGATCGTCTTCTTTCCTTGTTGGCAGAGTAAGTAGGTGGGATAATTGTTACACCACTACGCGCCACTTCGTAAAGCATTGTTGACCAAGACCGCATGTACCAATCGTAAACAGTGAACTA